AAAGGGGAAATTCTACCGAACGATAATAAGGCCTACTTTATTATATATATGTAAAGGTGGGCACGGGCCAGGGCAGCCCGCGGGCAGCACGGCACGGCCCGACGAACGACGAGGCACGGCACGACCCGTGAGGTGGCCCGGCACGACACGGTGGTTAGCCGGCGGGCCGTGGGCCGTGCCACGGTCGGAAGTTCAGATTTTTCAGCACGGCACGGCACGAGCCCGCTCCCAAGCCCGCGTGCTAGCATTAGTTACCATTGCTCAACGTCTCAATTTGAGACCGTTGGAGCAACGACCTTCTTCTTCTTCATTCTTCTTGTGAGCAACGGTCTTCTCCCCCTAATTTCTTATAAATAGCTCCACAATTCTTCATTCCAAATCACAAATTCACAATCTCTTCTCTTAATCTCTTATATTCTCTAATAATTCTCTTAATCTCTTATATTCTCTAATAATTCTCTTAATCTCTCTAATTATTCTCTTAATATCGAAAAAAATTAAAAGTTCGTAATTGTAATTAGTGGAAAGCGTTGAAGCAAGGTTGTAAAATATAACTAATCTTTATTATTATTGTTATTATTATTGTTATTACTTATTAATTATTATTATTGTTATAATTATTGTTATTAATTATTATTATTATTGTTATCGTTATAATTGTTGTTATTAATTATTATTATTGTTATTGTTATAATTGTTGTTATAATTATTATTATTGTTATTGTTATTTTTATAATTGTTGTTATTAATTATTATTAATGTTATTGTCATTTTTATAATTGTTGTTATTAATTATTATTATTGTTATTATTAAATTTATTATTGTTAATTATGGCATCACCAAACATGAACAACCCATCATCCTCTAGGAAAGCCCGTTTTGTCTGTGGTAATAGTTCTAGGGAATCACCTAATCCAATGACCTCCCCTCACCCCCAATTTCAAGTCCGACCAATGACCCCGGTAACATCCCCCTAGGCTTTGAACAATTTAGGCACGATGGTACTTCTGGTTGTCAACCCTATAACATGAATAATATGAATATACCCAGATTTCCACAAAACCAATTTCCACCACAAAACCAATTTCCACAATTCGGTCAATTCCCACCTAATTTCTTTGACCCACAAAATTTTTATTCTAGCCAAGGTAGCCAACAAGATACCCTAAATGCCTCTGGTTCTACTACTAACCAACAAATCCCCGAATCTACAAACACCCAATTCCCAAACACACAAGAGCAATGGTTAACCAAAAGTGACATGGTAAATATTAAAAGCCGCAAACGTGATGTATGGAATTATTTTCTGCTAAATGTAGCCCAAAAAAGAGCAAAATGTAAAACATGTGGTAAAGTATACTCGGAAGAATCCAAGTCCGTGACGGGACACCTAAGTAGACACATGAGAAGTTGTGCACAACCAGCTAGTGATCCAACCCAGCCAAAAATTTCCCAATTCCATCCACATGGCTTTACCTACAACTATGAGAGGGATAGGGATGAACTAGGGAAAATGATAGTACACGCCAAACAACCTTTTCTTTTCTCCGAAAGTGACCCATTAACACTTACATTAACAAAGCATTACAACCCCAACATAAAAGAATCTCTAGGAAAACCGTTCGTTTCACCGCCATGAAAAACTTCCTAGAGTACAAAATGCGGTTACAAGACGAATTGAGTAAACTTAATTGTAGAGTGTCTTTGACTGCCGATTCTTGGGATAGTGGTTATAAATATCACTATTTATGTGTGACTTGCCATTGGGTAGATGATCAATGGTTGTTACAAAAACGAATTATCCATTTCAAAATGCTGGAATACCCCCACACCGGTATTAACATTGCTCACCATTTAATGGAAGCAATAATTGAATACAACCTTCGAGAAAAAATCATGTCTATGACATTTAACAATGCAACCTCAATGACATATACTGCTAATTATATCAAACAAAACTTGACCGATGTAATATAGATGGTGACGCACTTCATACTAGATGTGTTTGCCATGTTCTTAACTTATGTGTACAGGATGGAATTAGAGCAATTGGTCCATACTATAACAAAATTAGAGATGCTATTATGTCTATTAATAGCTCAAACATGAGAAACCAAGAGTGGAAGAGTTATCTAAAGCAACAAAAGATAAGAGCAATAAAAATCAAAACCGATTGCCCAACTAGGTGGAATTTCCACCTATGACATGTTAACCAAGGCAATTGAGTACAAGAATCCGTTGATAATTTTTTACAACGGAAATTTTCCGAACAATGCTATATATGAGGATGATTGGGATAATTGTGAAAGATATATGCAATTTTTACAGTTATTATATAACATGACGTTTTGTTTTTCTTCTGTTTATAATCCTTATGCTCAAAACTTTCTTTCAAATGCATGTTTACTCGCCCAACTTTTCGCTGATCATCACAACCAAAGTGATTATGATCAATATCTTCCAGCAATGGAAACAAAGTGGCATAAATATTATAGTGAAATTCCTTTGATTTATATTTTTGCTTCCATATTAGATCCTAGGAAAAAATATGAAAATACATTTATGTTAGTTGACATTTATTTTTAATGCATGCTTATAGATGATAATGTAGAAACCTATAAGAGTAATGTGAAAGATCAATTTCTTTGCTTTATATAGAGTTTATGAAACCAAATATGGCACCGTTCCTCGCTCATGCCCTTCCCAACCATCAAAAAACATAAGTAAAAAGGCCAAACATTTATTTTCACAAGCTTTTAACTTGATTTCAAGGTTTTTAGGTGATTCATCAATAAGGAGAACGCAAAGCGATGTCTCGAAGTTGCAAATGTACCTGAGTTACGACTTCACCAAGGGCATGGACGACGATGAGATAAACAGCCTCGACCTCCTTGCATGGTGGAAACAACAAAGCACGAAGCATCCAACTTTGGCAGCAATGTCACGAGACATTCTAGGTATCTAAGTCTCCTCCGTTGCCTCTGAACGAGCTTTCAGCGCATCCAGGAGGGTTTTAGACGATAGAAGAACAAGTCTAAAACCCGAAACACTTGAAATGTGCGTGTGTTTCAAAGATTGGTTGGATGCTGAAAATCGCTCATAAGATCGTTCTTACGACGATAACGACAACAATGAAGGAACCTCCACTTCCGACCGTTCGGGTTCGGCTAGTTCCCAATCTATGCAACTAGCCGATGACCTTGAAGAAGAAGAAGAAGAAGAAGAAGAAGAAGAAGGAGAAGAAGAAGGAGAAGGAGAAGAAGAAGGAGAAGGAGAAGGAGAAGGAGAAGGAGAAGAAGAAGGAGAAGGAGAAGGAGAAGGAGAAGGAGAAGGAGAAGGAGGAGAAGGAGAAGAAGAAGGAGGAGAAGAAGAAGGAGGAGAAGAAGGAGGAGAAGAAGGAGGAGAAGAAGAAGGAGGAGGAGGAGGAGGAGGAGGAGGAGGAGGAGGAGGAGGAGGAGGAGGAGGAGGAGGAGGAGGAGGAGGAGGAGGAGGAGAAGAAGAAGAAGAAGAAGAAGAAGAAGAAGAAGAAGAAGAAGAAGAAGAAGAAGAAGAAGAAGAAGAAGAAGAAGAAGAAGAAGAAGAAGAAGAAGAAGAAGAAGAAGAAGAAGAAGAAGAAGAAGAAGAAGAAGAAGAAGAAGAAGAAGAAGAAGAAGAAGAAGAAGAAGAAGAAGAAGAAGTCCAATTTTTGTTTAATATCCTTGTACGATTTTTATCATTATTATCATTATACAATTTTTTCAAGTAATAATAATATGAAGTATGCATTATTCACATCCAAAGCCCAATTTGCCTTTTTTTCCCGTTAAGTTATAATTTGTAAATAAATAAAATAAAAAAAATTATAATAATTAATAATACAAAAATAAATATAATAAATTATAAACATTATACTATAAAGTAATAATATAAACTAAATATAAATATAAATATTAAACTTAATTCATTGTAGAAAAATAATAGTATAAACTATAAAAGTATAAAGTATAAACATTAAAAAAAAATTAAAAAAAAAAATATTAAGCAAAGAAGGCCAGCCCGGCACAAGCCCGCTCGGCACGTGAGCCGTGCCGTGTCGTGGGCTAGCCTGCAATTTTGGGTGGCACGGCACAGCCCGGCATGCCGGAAATCGTGGCCCGCCAGGCACGGCCCTCGGCGGCCCGGCACGGCACGTTGCCCACCTTTAATTATATGGTACAGAATGTTGGGCTGTAAAGCATTGCCATGTGCGTAAGATGAATATGGCGAAGATGCGTATGTTACGATGGATGTGTATACAAGAAAGGACCGGTTAAAGAATGAGATAATAAGGGGTTACATCGATTGAGTACGTGATGAGGGAGAAACGGTTAAGATGGTTTGGCCATGTAAGAAAGAGATCAAGTGAAGCTCCAGTAAGGAGGCTTGAAGAATTACAAAGTGTTGGGATCGCAAGAGGTAGAGGAAGACCTAAGAAAAATTGAAATGAGGTGATTGAGAGTGACATAAGTGCTTTGGGGGATTAAGGACAATATGGTGTTGGATAGGGTGGTGTGGAACGAGAAAATTCACATCAACATATCCTAATTATATTTACTTTTAAATTTATTTTCGTTTTCATTATATTTTAGCCCACCTATGTTTTATGAACTTTATTGTTTTCCTTTGCTAAAGTTTTCTCAAACCTTTATATTTTCAACTTGAATATTTTAACCACTCTTTTAAAACTTACCTGAATTTTATTCTTGATTCTCTTTTAAAACTCTCTTATTTTTTCTTAAATGCTCTTTCATATACTCACTTTACTCACCCTTTTTTTCAAACTCTTTTAAATAATAGTTTTGTTATGTCCGTTTCTTTATAACATACGATTCCTTATGACATTCATGTTAGCCGACCCCAAATCATTTTGAGACTAAGGCTTTATTGTTGTTGTTGTGAAAGTAAACCCCTCATTAGAGGGAATAATTCAAATTTTTCTTTTTTTAATTCATCAGGTACTACTATTTAGTGCAATGCATCATCATGTTCACCTGCTTAGTGCAACCAGGACTTCACTTCCAAAATTATCAGAATTTTTTTAAAAAAAATTCTAAGTTTATCATTTTCACTATTTTGGGGTAGAAGGGGGAGAGGAGGATTCTGAAATTCAACTCCTAAAATCTCAACCAATTAAGGTGCCTTGCCTTGTTGGATTTGCTGAAGCAAAGCTGCAGCAAGTTGCAAAGTTGCCTGCAGCCGTTTCTGAGGATCAGCTTCACCGTCATCTTGTGCATTACCTGTGTTCACAATCTCTTGATTCCCCTGTGTTGCCACGGGACCAGCATGAGCGAATGCCCGCACGTTTTCTGCTTGCACTGGTTGCTGCTGCAGCTGACTAAACGGAGATGGTGACATGTCAGAAGACACCTGATTTGCTGTTTGTGAAGCATTATATCTTGGGGGAACTCTTGACAGACTTTCATGTTGATTCCCAATGAAGCCAGATGATCTATAAACATCAGCAGCTGGAGGAGAGCGGTTTGTAGTTTGCCTTTGTAGCTGCCCCCGCAGAGAGACATCAGCATGCTGCTCTTGTTGAAAACCACTCAGAGGCAAAGAAGGTACAGATGATGAAAATTTTTGTTCATGAAGAGACGACTTGCTACCATCAGAATATTCGGTACCAGCATCATAAATAACCCTGCTAAACTCTGTACCACCCCTACCAGAATTGGAATTATTATATCCTTCAGAAACAGGATATGCTTGCAATGTTGCATCCCGAGGGGCAGAGTAACCAGGTTGGAAATTGTGTCTGCTTTCCATGTGATAAGGGATGCTTCCGCTTCCATGATCATAAGATGGGAATGGTGATGGAGCTGAAGCTTTGCTATTTCCTTGTAATGATGCACGATCAACGTCTGAAGGTATAGGAGAGGGACCTGGAAATTGCAGTTTGCTGTATGATGTATCAGCATGTGAATAAATGACATCTCTATTTTTCATCTCATTCTCTAGAGGATGAGAAGCCAAGGTAGGACTAGATGGTTCTAAACTTAAAACGACACCAGATATACTTAGCTTCCCAGGTATTTTTAGCACGTTCTCAGAGAAATCTGAAGGGGGGACAAGAAACAAGGTGTTCCTATCATCCAACTTAGCAACTGCTGCCCGTTGCTTCTCTCCCAGATAATGCATAAATTCATTATAATATACCATATCTGCATCACTGGCAGGGACGAAAAAGACAACCCAAGAGCAGGTAGCCTGATAATAATGCTTAGAAAGCATATCAAGCCCAGTCCGTGCAGTGCAATCTAGGAACTCTGGCCTGCAAACGAAGAGTTGTCACTGAGTTACCAAGAAAGTGAAGGTGCATGGAGAGGAAATAATATGTAATGAACATAAAACATTTTCACGTTATTATTGTTATTCGTGCTGTGCTGTAATATGCATTGTGCTATTTTTGTATAATCGTACTACTAATCTAAATTGAACCAGTGAGAAGTCCCACATTTTAGTGATACTTCACCCCCTTTGGCCCCTCCCCCTCCCATCTACTTTTCTTAATATTTTTTTAAATAAAATGGAAGTGATCAAAGCACAGTACTAGCTTAAACAGGTAACTTTAGGAAGTCATGAGGAAAGGTTTGTACTAACAAGAAGAAATCCATGACTTTTCCGACTGGAAAGCAACGAGCTTGGCAGACAGGAGTTCCACCCTTTGCTATAGTACCCTCCCATTTCCATTCCTTCGTTCCTCGCTGATGCAACTCAGAGGTGGTTCTTTTCCACTCAGCTGGAATTGATGATGAATTTGGAGGAGGTGACCGGAAAGTATCATGAGATGATCCCCAATTGTCATGCCTATCCCCTAAAGATCGATTTAAGTTTGAAGGATTCTCTGGCAGTCTTCTATACGGAATAGGAGGCCCAGACTCATCTGACAAAGAAAATTCAGGAACTAATCCAGGGAAAACATGCTTATCCTGGCTTACATTATGCAAAGGATATTCAGGAAGCTCCTCACGTGGAAAGGAATCAATTTTCAATTTCTTTCCTCTGTGATAGTTGTAAGTATCCTCCGGCAAGTCCCTTCGATCTTCTGGAAATGGACTTTTTCTTCTCAGATTTCGAGGAGAAAAGTCATGATATTGAGCACTTCCATCTCTAAAAGGACTCCTACTATATTCCTGCCGCCCTTGTGAAGGACCTATATCTGGTCCAAGTTCATGAAATTTTCTGTCTTCATATGAACCACCAGTATGAGCCCATGGAGACTCTAGCCTCCTGAAGCTCCTAATTTCAGGATCTTCATATTCCATGTTTGGGTAATGGGGGACCCTAATGCTTGGATCTTCAGGTTCTCTGGCATTTCTATCAGCGCGTAAGTTATCAGAAGATCCAATCTGATTAAAGGACTTAGAATGTGAAGGAGGAGCATTAGGCCCCAGACTTTGCCTCCCACCAGCAGATGAAGCATGCTCTTTCCTAGAAAAAGATATATGCACGCGTGGATTTCCAAACAATTTTCCTTGGAGAGTTTCTTTAGCCCTGCAAGCTGATGCTAGATTCCTGAACTGGACGAATGCATATGTACGACCTGGGAATGCAGTTATCTTGTCAATATCTCCAAATGGAGAAAAAGCCTTCCTTAATATCGCTTCATCCACTTTCAAGCATGATGGAAACCCTATCCATAAAATTTCAGTTGGATGGTCTGAGCCACGTTCATTTCTCCTTGGACTATCTGGATAGTATGCATCAGGGCTAGCAGGACGCTTTCTAGATTCCCTTGGTGAGAATGCTGAACTTCTGTTTCGAGGTTGCAGCTCATCTCGATGTTGCAAGTACAACTCATCACGTGGAGGAGCAGATGACTTGTCCTGGGATTCAGAATCTGTATACTTGTATGCAAGAAAACATTACAATAAGCTGACAATTAGCAATCTGGAACAAGTTACAATAACAAGATTGCATGATCGAACACCCATAAAGGAGAATTCCAATAATTTCAACAAAATATCATCTTTAATAATATTTAGAGAAGTTAAACAGTTTGCATCTGTCTTAGACACTAACAGAGGAATTGACAAAGAATCACCCTCCCAATGTTCACTATTCATGTCTCCAAATATCCAGCCAATCATAGAATGTTCATATTCTTACTTAAAATCCCAATATATCATAGAAACAATTGCTCACTTTCTTACAAAAATATATCTAGATAGAAAATCATCTAGCACACTAAGATTGCATGCACCATGAGTTAGTTATCTTACCAGTTGCAAAGAAATCATTCTAATCACGCACCTGAGAATATCAACTAGAATACAGACCTAAATCATCCAAGACATGTAATCGTAGATGCCCATATAGGTACATACACAGACAGCACCTTCACGCAGGCACATAAAGATAAAGCCACACAACTAACACAAGTACACGTACTTATGTCCATACACAGAAAACTTCCTCAAAGTATAGCATCAAATATCCAAAATTATCGTCAGGATGTGTGTTCTCCAGACATATTATAGGTAGACAGATTTTAAGTGAATTATTACATTATTAAAAAACTAAGATACATCATTTACAAGAACCATACACTGCAAAAACATCAAGATTTTAGCAAAAGAACACAGCAATACCGAAAACCCTTCGCATCAAAAATTTGGTTTTGGATGAGATGCAAATAAAAACTAAAAGATGTATGCTTTTGTGTGGTAACAGGCCCTATTTTTTTTTCCTTTTTCTATTTTTGAAATGTTACATATTAGTAAATCAAATCAATTTCTGCCAAAGATATAATACTTAGAGGCACATTTTCAGTGAATACAATCTCAGTTCCAACATTCACACCCCTTTAAGCAACATAATGCACAACCATTATTCCCACCCCTTTTAGCATGACCAATATCTAAAGAGAATAACCAAAAACCAAGAACCAAGATGAATAACTTGACAACTATTATCCATAAGCAACAACTTACAGATAAATTATTGGCAACTTACTAAGCAGTATCCTATGCTTTTTGAGCATGGCTTCAGAAGCCAAGCTATGCAAATAGACCAGTTGAAAGCTTGATGTTTTTATTTACATTCTCAGATCAGGAAAAAATTCCATGAGTGTAAAATTAATTTGAAGCAAGAATCACCTTTATCTTTACAACTTTCACAGTGTACTTAATAACTGAATTAAGCTGATGCAGCTTCTAAACTTCCTTCACCACATCTATATTTTTTTATCAACAAACTAAATGCACATAGTGTCTCACAGTTGACGATGTATTACCCTTACTCACTACAGGCAGCAGAAGTGTAGAACCCTTGACGAAACATCCAATATTCATTGCATGCAAATTAATGACCAAGGTTGAACACACAACATTCATGACACATGAAGTCAAAGGATAAGCATGCAAAAGTGCCAAACAAACAAAGACATTCACTTTTTACCCCAGACAGATTTAATAAAAGATAATAAACTATGCCTCCACCACTACTCGTCTAACACTAATAATATATTCAGTGTGTAGTTATTACCTTGAAAAATAAATTCAGATATTTTCAGATAAATTGATTTCATATGAAAAGAGCACACCCTCAGTGAAGATCTAGACAAGAGAAATATGATGAGGATATATAAATCAATCAGGCTGGGACAGATTGATATGCAATCACGTTCTTCAGCCCTTTGCTATAGGCACCAAAATTTCTTCGTGTGCTATCTTTACATAAAGTGATTGATCAGATGATGAATTTTAATCTAATCATAAAAATTTGAGCAGCTACATATTTCCACCCAAAGAAACAAATAAACAAATCAGAATCAGGGAAGACCAGATAAAAGAGATTAAGAAAAGGGTCTTCACCTTTATAAAATGAGTATTAGGAAATCGATAATTCAAGCATTCCAAGGTATTTTCCAAAACTCATTCTAAGGTAGTCAACAATTACATATGCTACTATTTATTAATAAATGAATTTAATCCATTTATAATCTTCATATAGTGTTGCAAATTGCCTCTTTAGCCCCACTCCCACTAGCAAAATGCTCCACCCCAACCCCAACATCTAACTTCTTACCTAAATATAAAAATAAAAATTAAAAAAAAAATAAAACAGAGAAAAACAGGGGACAAAATTTATGAGTAAAAGTCTCGATACTTGTGGCAATAAAATCTTTCACTTAACTAACAGCATGCCAAATACAAAAAATTTCAACAAAATTTGTCCATTTCACATCAAAATGACCCTTATTTTTCTACTCCAATACTCCACAAGGGTATAAGAAACTATTGTAAGTAAGTTTCTACCAACGCTAGCTTCAACAATTAAATGACACAGCAACATTAGGTGGTCTAATGTTCAAACAATATAAGGTAAAAGAATAACAAGTGTCATCATCAAACTAATATGAGATATAAGAATATCAAGTATTATCAAACTCCTAATGAGCAGTGATTGTATTAAAGAAACTAGAACAAGGAATTCAGGCACTGTTTGCCAAATGATAAACTATTATGAAAGCAAAAGTTATAAATAAATAAATTTAAAAAAAAAAAAAAAAAAAAAAAAAAATGGTCTTAAAAAGTTGCAGTGTATATTAACATTACCAAACTAATTCAGATCACACAAATGCCAAATATCAGAAAATAAGAAGTCATTTAAAAACAATGACATGTTACAAGACTCTTCATTTCAAGTACCTGAACTAGCCAATTGACACTAAAAAATATGGGTATGAAATTTATATCTAGCAATTAAATTACCAGTTAGGCATGTCATCATATAAGCATAAAGTTAGAACTGTAAAGCCAAAGATAAAGAGATTAAAGCATATGCTTGTATCTAGGCTTAAGATTAAAATTATAATAATACTAAAAATACTCATCAAAAAAAAAAAAAAAAAAAAATAGTACTAAAAATAGGGAAAATTTGTCAAGACAAACCTTTCAACAATCACTTTTTGCAAAAAAACCTTTATAAAAATTTTCTGGCAAATTCTGACCTTCAAATTTTTTTTCTTTTTTTTTTTTTTTTTTTTTGCGAATACAACATTACAACCTTATCTTACTTTCCAATATAAACCAACCAATTTCAGACGTTGACCCGCACGTGCAGGTCACGTGACCTTCACAAATTTTATTTCCACACTATCTTTCTTCTATTTTCACTTCATCTTGTTCACCCATTTCTCCATTAATTGCCAATACAACAATTCTTCAACTAAAGTATGAATTCAATTCTTATTTATGATATCTCATTGTAAATTCTTCAATCGAAGTATTAGCTTTAATCTCCTCTTAGAATTATCAAAAACATCTTTGCTGCAGTCTACCCTCTTTTCGAATTCACATGATCCTCTATCAAGGCATCAATTCTCAATTGGATAATATTTTTTTATCAAAAAACATATCAAATTGCAAAACAAAATCAAAATCATAAAATACAACCAATAAATTTAAAGCAGAATTTTAAAAAAAAAAAAAAGGGGGGGGGGTGTTGGGGGTAGGTATCCCATATTGTGGGCAAAGACAAGTATGTTTCAAACAAAGACATTTGAAGATCCTGGGATTTAAGCAACTTCTCATCTACTTATTGGTTCCCCTTCTTTCCTTCATTACAAAAATTAGGGACAAGAACCCTAACTTTAACATCAATTGCAGAAATTTAGACAATTTAGAGGTGGAAACATGCATTACCTTGGACAATATGGGTTGAATTAAGATGGGCAACATTAAAATTGGACGATCAATGGAGAATTCAATTGAATTTAGATCTTCCAAGTCTCTATTGAAGATAAGAGAAATAAAATCAAGCAAAGTTGGAAGGGAAAGGAGTGTAAGTAAAAGAAATAAGGCTCATGTGAATGTCACATGCAGGTCAACACTTGAAATTCGTCAGTCAACATCAAAAAGTAAGGTAAGGTTGTAATTCCGAAAAAAGGGTTAAAGGTCTGAACTTGCCAAAAAAAAATTATAAGGTTGTTTGTCGCAAAAAGTGTTATCTAAAAGGCCTTTTTGACATATCCTCCTAATAAAAACTAAAAAAAAATAAAATTGAAGAGTGCTTCTCCGAATAAAATAATGCCGAAGTTATGTGGACATGTGTTTTAGAATATGGAACAACAAAGCCATAAATGCTTTGATCCAACACTCATCTCTAATTTCAAGACAAAATTACTTGTTTCTTCCAAAAAAGACTACCAAAAATCAAACTACAATTCAATGAAGACAAGGTAATATTCAGTCAATATATGTTAATGCCAGCAGCTTTCTTGCACAAATAACACATGCACAGTTGTGGAATAATGATAGCATATGAGTGGCTTCAAGTTCAAATGGAAGCTCATTCTTTATTTACATACACCATAATAACACACATGTTCCTTCATAACACAATGGCACAATTTCCATAAGTTGATTGAATATGTGTAGAGAATGGCAATATCACAGGTTATACAGATATAATACCTACAAGAAAGATGCTGAGTTGACAAATGTAAGAGACATTATAGTTTCAAAATGCTTTTCAAGACATCACCTGATTTAATGGTTAGATAAAAATCTCAAGTGTTTGTTTGGTTTACATAAGAAGTAGAAGTTCCCATGAAGTTTAAATTGATGGGAATTAAATTTCATAATCAATTTCATAGAAATTTTCTAAAGTAGTTTGATTAGAAAAGGGGAAAGTAACTTCCCATAGATATTTCTACTTACCTAGGGGAAGTTAGGTTAGTAAATTCCTACATTTTGTGGAAAGTGGAAATTATTAGGAAGTTCTACTCCCCATTTCACAAATTTTTTGCCAACCAAACAACTCACCTATCTTGCATTTCCTAGGATGTCCCACTTTCCATGTTTAGTTATGTCAACCAAACAATCACTTAGAATTTGTAAAATAAGTCTGCCAACGTAGTTTGTTTCTGTGACTGTATGATCTACTTTGCACCTTTATTGCCATTGGTTGGGGGTGCTACCTATGGAACTTCTCATATTAATATTCAACAAATTAGGGGCAGCCATGAATGGTTTTACACTCTAAACCTTTCTCGTATAAGGCAGATCTCTTTAATCTAAAGACAAAAAAAAATACAGAAGCTAAACTGCAACCGACTTCCCTTTATGTGAGGATGAAACAGGCAGAGTTTTCTTCCATTTGCTTTCTCAGATATTGATCTGAGAAAAGAAAAGCTGATCTGTATGCATTGACCAGTATCCTAAATATAACATCTTTAGCCCTGCTTATTTTCATTTGTGTTCCTTTGCCTATTTAGTAAGATGATAGTACGATACTATATCTCTGATAACTAACCATAACTTCCTTCTTGCAGTTTGTATTCACAAAGTGATCTAGTATACCCTTTGTGGAAACAGGCAGGAGATGCATTTACATAATTCCTCAAGCCCAAATTCAACAGAGTTGTTGACTTGGGGTAACATGTAGTGGTATTCAAGAGCTCCTTAAGAGTTCCAATTCACCAAATTCTGCTCTCTTACACTCTATATCTGTCTCTTCTAGTATAAATTCATTTTCTTCAGAAATTAAAAGTTGCACAGTAGCTATGAGGTGCACCCAGCGTCCCAGCATAAATTGGAGAAAGGATGTAAATTATTGCATTCATTTTCATCAGATTACTCAGCCATCCATCTCTTGGGTAATGTAAAATGGTACGAGCATGTTATATGGTTTTGAGAACAAAGGCAAAGCCCCTAACTATTACGTAGCACAATTTAGGCTGATATTCATTTTAAATGCACATACCAAACCCTCGAAGGCATTCCTAGATCTCCTTAATAAAAAGGCATGATACATGCTCATCAATGTGCAATCATGGGTGTATTGGGATAACACAATATATCATCAGACCTTCCCACTTTATATACTAATAAAGTTTTTTTTTCCAAGAGAGGATGAGAGATGTAAGACAGCAGCAGTTCCACCAAGTATGATTCGAGTAAGAGCTGTATCATTTGTGAACCAATAAAGCACTGTACAATCATGACACATGAAATTTGTTCCAGATAATTTCTGTTTTCACTCATGAATCCCTTCATGTTTTTTCTTTCTTACAAAGAGCTTGGGCTCATTTATAGACCTAGCTTAGATTTTCATTCCCATTGTTGCTCCTCCCTGTGAGAGGCCAATTTTCCATCAATATAATTATCCTCACCCGAACTTTCAATCAGCAATCAAAATTCTTATTGCAATGTTGTTTATAGTTATTTCTGATATGCGCCATTTTTGAATCTCGCTGGGGTTTTTCGAATCTAGTTTCTGGAATAGTTTTTACTGCTGCCTTGAGAGTTGGATTCTCAAGTGCTTCTGTGCTGTGCCGGAAATTATTATCATTTTGCTGAAATCCTCTGCAGATTTTTGTCAAGACTCTGCTACTGGTTTCTGAGTCCTGTTTGTAGTCTTCTCTATCCTATCTTTTTGTATGTACACATTCTTTTGTTGAATATATTCATAGTTTTTAAGTCATTTTTAAAATTTTAAATCCTAGTAAAGCCCTTTTCTTTTTTCCTGTTTTTGTAGTTAGTAGTTAGATTGAGGTCAAAAAGATGTCTCCTCTGTTTATGCTCATAAAATTACTTCAGATATGGAAGCTATAGCATGATTATCTGGTTCTCATAAAGGGTTATGGAAGTTCTTTTCGGCTGAAGCTGAAGATAGGTCATAGTCGACACAGTAAAATTAAAGATAGGGTTTCCGTGTGTGTTAATATCTATTTACTATCGTTGTACATCAGATATTGCCTCTGATTTAAGGATTAGTTTTCTTCCAACCGGATTGCGATATCTTTCCATATTAAAAGTAAAGCATAAAATTTTAGGCATTTATTATTTATATACGTTATCAACCCTAGGGATCTCCTAAATCTGTTATACACCCTTTAATAATCGACGGTGCATATGCCACACTTTATTCCATGTGGAAACAGATGATTTTGAAAACTGATACAACCTAGTTGTATCCATGTTTATAGCCTAGTTGTATCCATGTTTCAATGGACATTGAATTTTCCTAATATTTACGAAGGGAAGTCCCGAAAGGCAGCCACAAGCAAGCACTTTTGGCTGTACATGTAAAGAATCCTGAGATCCACTAATGATTATGACGTCACCTGATTATGTCCATCTTTTTCGTGCTAATAATCAAATATATTTCCATATTTGAGCACCAATGATAACCCTATATTTTTTATAACTTTCGCGCCTATATTTAAAGTCATTTCCATATTTGATCACCAGTGATAACCCTATGGTTTTTACAACCTGCAAATCCATCTGGCATGCCTGGTTTTTGTAATGAGCTTATGATTCTTAGTGAATACTTCATTTGCTGATCATATTCATATAAAGTATCCTATTCATTCCGGGGCAAAATAAACAAGCCACTTTCATAAGCAGCATCTCAATTGTACTAAACTTTTTCAACTTGAAAAACTCCATACGTTCAATTCCAAAATGAAGTACAAAAGCAGAATGTATGACACAAATATGTTGGCATAGAATCACCAATATTACGACGAAAACAATAAAGGGTAGACAAAAGAAGAAACTAACCGACTTGGCAAACTCAATCCTAAGAGGCATGCCTGCAAGACTAAACCCCTGAAGCGAATTCAAAGCCGCAATAGCATCATCTTCCCTCACATAATTGACAAAGGCGTAGCTCCGACCGGAATGGCACGCAATATTTTCGAGGTCTCCGAACCTAATGAAGTGATCAGCAAGAGTTGATTGACTAATGTGGTGAGACAAATTCCCAACCCATAAATGCCGGGAAGGAGGATTATTCTTGCCACGAGAAGGCTTGCTTTCGTCGAAACGAGACGAAGACGACGAATGATGATTATGGTGTCGCTGACTATGGTACTGCTGTGTATGATGATCCCTCCTTGAATGATATTCCCTTCCAACTCTCCCACTCTATAAAACAACAAGTTCACAATCAAATCAATAAATTTTGCAATCAAATCAAAAACCCCACATAATATAACCATTAAAATGGTAATCAATGAAATGGGTATGGACTGAATTGAGAAAAAGAGAGAAAATCACCATTGTTTTGCAGGAAAGATGAAGGCTTTTTCCAGAATTGCAGTGAATTAGAAGAGTTGAAGAAGACGAATTTGATTCAACTTAAAGTGTTGATTAAAATCTTCGAAGTTGAAATGAATGAATGAGAGAATTGAAATGGATGGATTGTAATGAAGATGAGATTAATCGAAGTGAAGTTTGCGGTGAAAAAGAGGGGTTTTTTTTAGGGTTTGGCTACCAAGGAAAAATGAATGATATTTCTTCCCTGTTAAATATGGAAGAGAAGTATATAGAGATATGATGGAAATTTTGTTACATTTTGTATATTATTATTATTCCATCTAGTACGGGAATATATATACATGTTATTATCTAAGGTTCCATCATCGGATAAGATTAAATACCCAAATTTAGAATATTCTAAATAATACATGGGATAATAGTCATCTACTTGTTATTTTATAACACTCCGCCTTTGATGACTATTAAATAAAACAATAACTAAAATTTACTAGAAATCCTGTACAAAAAGAATATATTATAATGCGCATAAGATGTTATCTCGTTAAAAACCTTACTAAGAAAACCCAGTGGGAAAAACCATGGTTAAGGAAAAAAAAGTGTTCCATGCATTAACTCCCCCTCATGTAGGATTGGCAATCCCTGACCCGACCTGATAACACGATCCGAACCCGACCCGAAGTTACTGAGAGAAACCCAAACCCGACCCGAGCCGAACCCGAACAACCCGAATATTAATTTGACCCGATTTCACCTAAATTTCATATTTCATAATAATATTAAATTACACTATTTTTGACCCTCTTAAATAAAAATTAAACATGGAGAGTAGCCGACTGTTTTTCAGTAGGCATGCCCCTCTTAGTACAAAATTGAATAGTAAGTATGCAAACTTTCATTAAGTAGCTCTTGACTATTTACATCATTCAAAAGAAATATTTCTTAAGATTATCTACATTCCAAGTTCGAGGCAACGGTTGTCCGTCTGGTGTTTCCAGACGGTAGGTACCATCCCTGACTTCTTCACAGATTCGGTAGGGTCCTTCCCAGTTGGGAGTTAGTTTGCCAGACTCATTAGCCCTACCAACTGCTTCCATTTTTCTAAGTACAAAGTCCCCTACTTTGAGAGGACGCCTGTGTACTTTTTTGTTGTATGATCTAGTCATTCTCAAGCGGTAGATTTCATGGCGCAAGACAGCATTGCCTCTCCTTTCAGGAAGTGAGTCTAATGCCAGGCGCATGGCTTCCCAGTTTGCCTCTTCGTCATATAGCATTACTCGAAGAGTCGGCTCGTAGTGTTCTATTGGAAGAACAGCTTCCGCACCATAAGTTAGGAGGAATGGAGTTTCTCCAGTCGCCCCTTTTTCAGTCGTCCTAATGGCCCAGAGAACATGTGGTAATTCATCCGCCCATAGGCCGCCTGCTCGTTCAATCTTTTTCTTGAGACCGTCTGAGATGATTTTATTAAAGGCTTCTACCTGGCCGTTTGCTTGTGGACGGCCGACAGATGCAAAGTAGTGTGCAATTCCTTGGTCACCCAACCAGCTTTTGAGAACAGGCGTCTCAAATTGGGGACCATTATCAAAAACCATAGACATGGGAACCCCGAACCGAGTGATGACATTTTTCCAAATGAATGAAATTACATCCTTCGTCTTGATTCCCTTTACAGCCTCCGCCTCTACCCATTTAGTGAAGTAGTCGACGGCAACAAGTATGTACCTCCTTCCGCCTGTAGCAGGCGTATATGGACCCAGAATGTCCATGCTCCACTTAGCAAACGGTAGTGGGCTATGAATGGTAGTGAGGTCAGTAGCCGGACGGTGAATTAGCTTGCCAAACCTTTGGCACTTGTCACATTTTTTCACCATTTCCATTGCATCTGCTTCCAAAGTAGGCCAAAAGTAGCCCTGCCGCCTTGCCCTTTGAGGAAGCGTCCTACCGCCTATATGAGAAGCACAGTAACCAGAGTGAAGATCGTCTAGTATCTCTCGTCCCTTTTCTAGAGTAACACACTTTAAGAAAGGTTGAAGGTACCCCCTTTTGTGAAGTTCTCCCTTTATTATTTCAAAACAGGTCGCTCATTTTTTCAGTGCTGCCGCCTGTTGATGATCATCCGGCAGGGTATCGTTTGTCAGATATGCCCTGATTGGATCCATCCAGGTTGAGCTTCTGTCTAGGATTCCAATAGGGTCTTCCTCGATGCTTCTCTTCTCCATTACATCCCAAAAAACAGTTCGAGGAGTATCAGAGGAGGCGGATGATGCTAATTTTGACAGTGCATCCGCCTGGTTGTTTTCTGATCTCGGCACTTGGATCAGATGGAAATCCTCAAGGGAGCCGACTGCTTGTCGGACCGCCTGTAAATACTTGATCATGGCCGGATGGGTTGCTTCGTATTCGCCATTGTACTGACTCACTATCAATTGTGAATCGGAACAGGCGTCTATTTTTCTTGCCCCTGCCGCCTTGCACATGCGGATTCCGGCTAGTAAAGCTTCATATTCTGCCTCATTGTTTGAGGCCTGAAAACTGAAGCGTAAAGCATACTCGTACCTGTCGCCCTCTGGCGACTGACATATGACGCCTGCTCCACAACCATTTGAAGTAGAGCTTCCGTCCACATATACCTTCCAGACTTGGTCTGGAACTTGAGAGTCAGGAGGACGAGTCATCTCAACAATAAAGTCAGCAAAGGCTTGCCTCTTCACTTCTTTTCTAGGCTCGAAAGTAACTTCGAGGCTCTGTATTTCTATGGCCCATTTGATCATTCGGCCTGACGACTCCATGATGGTCAGTGGCCGCTTGATAGGTTGGTCTGTATACACGACGACTGCATGTGCCAAAAAGTAGGGCTTCAATTTTTTAACAGCCATGAAGAGTGCAAGACCAAATTTCTCCACTAGGGGATACCTCAACTCAGCATTTTTCAGTACATGACTGACAAAGTAGACCGGGAGCTGACAGCCGTCTCTTTCAGCAAGGAGAACAGCGCTTAACGCATGATCAGAGACGGCCAGGTACATGTAAAGTACTTCTTTGGGCAAAGGGCTGACCAGCCTCGGCAAGGAATGCAAGTGAACTTTCAATTTCTGGAAGGCGGCCTCAGCATCCGGCCCCCATTCAAACCTTGCCTTTTTCTTAATTGCCTGGAAAAAGTATAGGCATTTGTCGCCTGATCGGCTTAGAAATCTTCCCAAGGCCGCTAGACAACCTGTTAACTTCTGAACCTCTCGGATGGTACGAGGCGACTGCATGTCAATGACCGCCTGCACCTTCTCAGGGTTCGCCTCTATTCCTCTCTGATTGATAAGGAATCCGAGAAATTTCCCAGACTCAACTCCAAAGACACATTTCTTGGGATTGAGCATGACATGGTGCCGCCTGAGTGTGGCGAAAGTTTCTCGGAGGTCCGACAGATGATCTTTCTGAAGTTTAGTTTTGACAATCATATCATCAATGTATGCCTCGACGTTTCTCCCAATCTGATCAAAGAACACAGTGTTTATCATTCGCTGGAAGGTAGCCGGGGCATTCTTAAGACCAAACGGCATGACCGTGTAACAGTATAACCCCTGATCAGTGACGAAGGCCGTCTTCTCCTGATCTTTCTTCCACAAAGGAATTTGATGGAAACCAGAGTAGGCGTCCATAAAGCTCATCAAAGCATGGCCGGCTGTTGAGTCGACCAAATTATCAATTTTAGGCAGAGGGTAACTGTCTTTGGGGCACGCCTTGTTTAAGTCTGTGTAGTCTACGCACATTTGCCAGGTGCCATTCGGCTTTTTAACAAGCATCACATTTGCAACCCAGTCTGGGAAGTAACATTGCCGAATGAACCCTGCATCAAGTAATTTTTTAACTTCGGCGGCTGCCGCCTGACTTCTTTCTTCGCCATGGTTCCGTTTCTTCTGCCGTACCGGCTTCTTTTTTGGATCCACGGCCAGTTTATGTACCGCCAGATCAGGACTAATGCCTGGCATTTCATGGACTTCGAATGCAAAGATGTCCTTGTATTCTTTCAATAGTGTGTGAAAGTCGTCACCAAGGTCTCTCAGAGCAGTCGTCCCAACTTTGACTGTTCGATCAGGACGTGAGTCGTCTAAGATCAGGTCCGTATGCTCACCAGCCGGCTGAGGGCGAAACTCATCCGACCGCTCCTCTGCCAATGATTGCTATTTTCTTTCTTTTCTTGCGGCCCCTGTCTGGGATGCCTTTCTCTTCTTGCCGCCTGCTTCTTGAACAGGCGTACTCTTCTTGACATTGTCAAGGTCTGTTTTTTCACCACTTGACCCAGTGGCCATAACAGTGGGCTTGACATCCGAGAGATAGCACTCTCGGGCCATCCTCTGATCTCCCCTTAGGGAGCCGACTGTTCCATTATCCCTCTCAAACTTGAGCAACATAAGAGATGGGATTATAATAGCCTTGGAATTATTCAGGGTTGGTCGTCCCAGAATCATGTTGTAGGCCGAGAGTTCCTCTACTACCAGGAAACGGACTACCATGTGTCGTCCTTCCCCTTTTTCGCCCAGACGGATGGGTAAATCCACTCGTCCCACTGGGTGGACTCCTCCTCCTCCAAACCCTACTAAAGGGTGGGAGGCCGGATGTATGCAATCAGTCTGATATTTTAGTTTCGACAGACATTTGCTACTGATGAGATCTGAGGAGCTTCCGGTATCTATGAGGATTCAGCCAACTCTCTGGTTGGCCACTTTACATTCAATAACGATAGGGTCGTCATGCGGCCCTCTTACCCCTCCTAGATCTTCTTCAGTGATGACAATCTCAGGAAATGAATATTTGGACGGCCGTTCTTGGTGAACGGAATTTACATCTAACCGCCTGATATTGTCTTTGTTGCCCCTAATAGTGGGGCCGCCTCCTGAGAAGCCGCCTGCAATGGTGTAGACGACTGCATCATCTGTATCGGAGCTGTCGGTCTGTTGATTCTTTTTGGCCGACTGCTTTTTTGAGGAAGTGTTCCCCGCGGATTTCTTGACATAAGTGTCAAGATCACCTTGCTCAGCCAGGCGGTCCAGATACCGCATGAGACTGATGCAGTCATTGGTGTGATGACCAACATCATCATGATAAGCACAGAATTTATCTGGATTCCGGGTGTTTGCAGAACCCTTCATGGGGACCGGCTTCTCAATTGAGATCTGTCCCTTGATTTCTTTTAGGATAAACTGGTTATCTTTGTTAAACGCATACTTTGGGGAGTATGGTTTGAATTCTTTTTTCTTTTTCTCGGCCGGCTGTTTAGAGGAATCAGCCGCCCAGACC